GCATTAGCAGTATTGCATTTCAGTATCTTGGAAGAGGTTAGACATAAGTTTCTTGTGCAAAAACGAAACAAGGAACCTGTACCCGACGACCCTCCTCCATCTTTGCTGAAAGGTGGTAGTGAATCTTCATTGAGTAGATTGTTTCTCTATTTGACATAATTTGAAACAATACTGAGATGCCTTCAAACTAGGGACGGTAAACTCTGCTGTTCATCTTCAAGAAGCTTTCAGCGTAACCTGTGCAAGGATCATCGTGATGTTAGCCTTGTTTTCATTTTCAACTTACTTTCAACAGAGACGTTTCTTCGAAAACTTACCGACCTTTGTAAGTGCCGAATAATATGAAACAAGTTTGGTGTTAGAAAATAATCACTCTCACGACTATTGTGCCTTTCTTTGACCTGAATGCCACTTTCAACTCGGTTGGTCGAGCTAGCTTGCGGCACTACTCATCCATGAATGTCGTGACAATTAAACGTCCTTCTAGTTTTAATTATCTACTGTGACTTTCGAGGCCAGATAATGGCCAGTTAGAAGTGGTATACTGACTACTCTAGCAATGGGGTTCATCAGGTTAGCCTTATATCTCCTTTCTCTTCAACTTTGTGCTCGAAATGTGTATGGATTTCCCCATTCTTTCAGACTCTGTCAGCGTGGATGTTCTGCCAAGTGCTGAATAACAAACTTCGAGTATGCGACCAAAATAACATTCCGCTTGTCTGACGCAGTGGCTACGCAGACACTAGTGAACAGACTGATGTGGGGCGATGCACATTACGGTATGTACTTTGCACCGGCAAAGTGCAAAACACTGTTGCCGAACTGAACCAATACGTCACCAAATCTATCTATAGCGGAACAGCCACAGGATGTGGTGGATCGATTCTCTTACTTGGCAACTGTGTCCCCTCTGTTAGTCACATCGTCAAATAGATTACTTTGCTTATCACAAAGGCCCGTGTAACCTGCCAGTAGCTCAACCATTTAGGCAGACGGTGAGACGTCAGATTAATATTGAAAAGCGGGGTGCATAAGGCTTCGATAAGACCGGTGCTGCTGTATGGTTCAGGGTCCTTGCCAGTTCACAGTGATAATTGCCCGTGTATGATCGCTGAGACTTGCAGAGTATTGCTCATATGTGGTGGGAGCACCGGGTGGGCAATGTCGAGGTTCGTCAGTCAGTTTTTGTAAAGATACCTTCTGGTGCCACACTCCATTATTGGCTGAATCATGACTGCGTACATTGGCTAGGCCATGTTCGTTCTATTCCCTTTGTCGTCGTTTCTCTTCGTGTAGTATACCCTGCCGCTGAAAAAGGTAGGTGAAACTGCGAGCTGGCTGATTGCTTACATGGTAAAATACATGGAAAAATTAACAGAAAGGGTTGGTTAGGTTGGTATGCTCCGTCTTCCTTTGATTGAAGATCCAGGATTGTCCACCTCAATATTTGGAGACCGTCATACAGAGTGCAGCCTCGCAGTCGGTGGCGATAACGCATTCGGTTTCTTACACCTAACCGTTAATTTTCTTTCCATCCTGGTTAGTTTAACGCACCTCCTGCTTGTTACCATTTACTCTACATTCTATTCACATTCAAGCTCATACTTTTGCCATTATTGTTCACCGTAATGCTGGCAATGTGATTCGTATAAATGGGTCCATGGTTTGGAAATATTTCGGTGACGCTGCTCGAAACATTGGCACACAACGACCGCGGTTTTGCCCTGGTTTGGACTCATCAGATGGAGGTAGCCTGAGCTGGTAATGGAACTCCGAGCCTAATGGTTCACGGCTGACGCCTGGAAAATCGGGCCACTGAGATCCGCGAGCAACACTTGGCACAACGGAAAGGAAATCAAAGTTTTACTTGGCGAACTCATTGTGTGGTTGAATTTCGACACGCAACCTTTATTGTGACGTCGGTCAACTTTTAGACCTCGGTTATTCTGATCGCAAGGACCTTATGCGAAATGCAAATATTTCAGCGCAACGCGACTACGGTTTCTTCCTGGTTTATAAGTCAGGTGGAAATAGCCTGAAGGTCCATGGTACTTCGCTGCCCGATCGTCGTTGTTCAACTGAGCTGAGCTGACCTGAACTGCGACCTTACGTGAAACACGCTATCAATTCTTGCCAGTCTTGCTAAAAGGATCAACTCGCAGCTTTCGGTATCAGCACCAACAGTGACCCATTAATGTTTTGTCAGAAGCTGAGGATCGCCAACCACGTCTGTAGACACTCAATACACCAAATGACAAGACTAACCCCAGCAGCCATCAGTTCAGGCTGGCCACGCAAAGTAGCCGGCTAGAATGTCGCCGGAAATTTTATTTTATTCATGTGTACTGCCTAGAAAATACTGTCTTTATTTAAGTTGTTTTCACTCCACTTTATTAATTTTTATAAGCTTCGTGAGACCCTAACTCACCTGAATTACTAGCTAAAGCCTGTTTACGTCGACAGACGGTGTAATAGACAAACATTGCACAATCAGCTTAATCTACGTAATCAGCACAGGCATTTTTGCAATTTCCTTATTATTAACACTATGGCGAGTCCACTAAGACCTTTTACATGTCATCACCAAGTTTCCATTTATCCATTAAGTTACTTCTCATTTTGGCCATCTCACGTAATTTGTTAAGCACTCTTTATAGTCCATTGGTTATACACCAATGTTCAATTGTTATTAGCTAGTATTAATGTAGATATGTAGCGTTCCGTTAACAAATAACCGCAGTGTTTTTCCGAGCTGTTGATCCTTTATATTCTTCCACTGATTGATGAAGTAATTCGTGTATGCGCGTGTATAGCCATAGCGATTAAGAAACAACACCTTGACATAAGTCAAGCTGTATATACTACCTACCATCTTTAAAATCAGAAAGGTGAGGGATCCTAATGCTTCTCCTCCTAATGCTGCTCCTGTCTCTTTCCGTAATATTCCTTATTGAAATCATAATGCTTTTTGGGTACAATATCGAATAGGATTGCAGAAAGACATCGCAACAGCTGTAGCAGTTTCCTACCGTTTTCTGCGTTCACAATTGTTTCCTCTCTCGATTAGATAGCCGATCAGATACTGCTGGAAGAATTCACATGACAAAATCGGTCACTAAATAGGACTAACAACACTTATTAACAAACTTCCTGTGTCACAAGCAGCAAAAGTAAAATCATCAGTTTCATTTTTGATTCAGCCAGTGGGAAAGCTTCCTCTTCCGCTCTTGATTTTTGCATACGAAATGTTTGTTAAACGAACAAAAGTAGTTGGAATATCCCCACTTGACAAAGTCTACCCCAGCCATTAGTCACACTGGTATTCGGGGCTTTCGGACTTAATCCAACCTTAATCCTACCCATCAAGAACGTTCGATTGTTTGAGTCACAGGAAAGCAGTTGTGAAGTTACGAGTTTTAGCATACTACCTGGGAATCTGTAATATCTGCGCCAGCTAAGCAAATTCGCCGATTCGTTGCACAAAGTTACTAATGCCTCGATCGCTGTTGATTCCGCTGGATAATATGTATATTTATAAACGGAAAATCTATGATGATGGAAATAAGTAATTGGTCCTTGAATCATTCCATTTATTTTGTGGTTATTTGATAATTCTTTAGTGTTGCGTTTGCTAGTGAGCATTTTGCAGCTACATATACAATTCCAAGTGACCGTAGAGTAAATTATTTATTTATGTTTCTGTTCAATGCACCAAAGTTGTCCACATAGTTAGATGGTCATGACACTTAAGATAGTCTGTGATGAAGTGTTCAAAACGGTGACGCTCTTGTCTATATAGAAGAACTTCCGGTGATAATTTTAGATTCCACATAAAATAAAAATCTTGAGCTATGGAGTTTAGAAACCAACTACTATAATTGCTACGATACACTCGACTCATGGACTTAAATCCTTTGACAGTGGAAGGCGAAACTCATTCTGATGAACGATACATATTCGTTTATGTCTCACCGCATAGCGCAGAAAATTTAGTTAATACATCGTGTTTCTTAACTAACATTGGATCGGGACAAAACATTTGCGATCAGCTTAAAGGACAGAAAATTTGTTGAAATCCTAAATTGCTCACTACGAGGATTTCCACTACACAGACGATTTAATGGCCAAAGTTCTGTAGACTTCGAAACACTGGTGTGCTGAGTTATTGTTTGGACGTATTGGTGAATTTATTTGGTCATTTTGACTTGCTATGGTAAGTGGGCCGTTATGTTTAAAAATAATAGGTCAAAAAGTAGAACCATTTACTAACTTGGCATCCATTGGATTCATTTTGCATTGTCCATACAGGCGTGGCGAGTTAATATACCAGTCAAACGGTCGCCTATCCGGTAAATGAAGCGTTGACAACTTCTTAATTTGTCGGCCCTACCGCAAGGGTAGCAATAATGCACAGTCGTTCAAAAACTGTTCTATTCACTAAGCGTTCTATCCGTTAGCAATCTCCATGAAAAGTGACATGAAGCCTGATTCACATCAAGCTCATTAGTTCGATGAACAACATTGGAGCAAAGGAAAAATATTTAGTAACCGAATAGCTATCTTTGGTGTCTAAAACGCTGTTTCCATCCCGAATGCACCAAAGCACTATCAATCGTCAGTACATTTACAAATCTATTGTATCATCGAACGGCTCAAATAGCATGTGGCATTTAGCAACAAGGACAGGAATTTCAGGGTTTGGACAAGAGTATATTTGGTTTACGATTTCAAATAAGGCCTCCAATGTGTATTGTAGTTATGAAACATCGTTTGGGTTGAAAAAGCAATAAGAACTCAGTGGCTTATCTCCCAATTTTTCTCCTAAAGCGTGCCTACTAAGGGCTATTAGAATCTACAGATATACTCATTATAACACACTGGTTTTGCAGTTACTTCAGGAGTGAACCATCTTTCGCATGTAAACGATCTGATGGTATTTAACTAGCATATACTTCTGTTTCTCTAACATGGCTTTTATGATCAGTTTTCATTCGTTTTAGTGGACAATTCGGGTACGATTTGCACACGCATTCAGCTTAACAACGAGCAGTTGCGTTCCAAAAACCAGTTCGACATCAGGATATCACCATCCTCGAAGTACCAAACGTTTGAGCCAAATGAAGAAATCTCGATGGTCCACGATTCATCATCGCAATGCGAGCATGAAGTGTGTCAAATGGACAAAGCCGTTCGGTATGGATCCAGCACAGTGAACACAAAGGTTTTTACAGAAAATTACACACCACTGAAGCGTACTTCATCGCAGTCCAAAATGGACGTCCGCATAAGCGCCAACACAACCAGTTTTGTTTGAAGCTAACGCACAGGTTCAGCATGTTTTAAAATTGCTGAAATGAGACACTCCATTTCGACGTAATTTTCAAACATTCCATTTGGATTTATTGTTTCCATCAATGATAACTGACTTCATTAGTTAAGTGCTTGCTTTCCATCCTCTGGACCAAATTAAGCGCACGTTTTATCGCTTTATGCGCTGAGTATTTTTGTCTCCTCAGTTTGGTCCGGGATAATGAATAGCAACGGTTCCATAGGAACAATAGTTTATTATTAGCAGAAAAATTGGCTTATCATCAATCTGGGTGGCGAGATATTTGAGAATACAAACTAGCTTACACGATTAATGGAATATTCACCAGGAAAATTAATTGAGCTTATCGACTAGGTGTTAGGTTGAAGCCTTGACAATATGGTTTTCAGTGTCAGCAACGCGTGACGGAAATAGTGCACGTTAAGTGACTAGTTGTAGCCGATGGCTTCGAGATACGATATTTTCGTTGGTTTTCAGACTTTGAAGACGCTATCAAAAATCGTGGATATCTAACACATAGACAGCAATAAAATTCGCTGTCGACTCACACGTTTTCAGTCTCCGTTAGTTAGATCCATGAAGTAACATATCCACAAATTTTTTCGTTCTCTATTGAGGAATTAGAAATTTTACTGGTTCATGCCTTTTCAGGATTGCCATACGTTATAGTTTTATACCTACTAATTAAGCATCCAAAAAATACGAGCTGGTCAGACCTTCCCATGTTTTGAATATTTCTCGGCGTAATGTGAACCATCAAGGGGATTTTACACCCGCACTCCTGGGTCATGTTCAATAAAAATGCTTTGGGCCAGCCGTCCCTTAGCTATTATTCATGAATAAGGTGACGGTGTATCCCCAGTAACTTACAAATAATCATGCCGAACGTAAGTAATTTCTGACCAGCCTAATTATATAACTGTCCAGATCAGACTGATAGAGGCATCTCGCTTACGTGTCACATCTTGAGACCGTAAGTGAGTAAGAATTTGAGGCAATCACAGTTAAGGGATCATTTAGCCCATTCAGTAACACGTTATTGAGAACTTATCGCAAACGATTCCAAAACGAATAACGTTTGTTTATCCAGGAAAGCACCAGCGGCCATTTAGTCCTAAGGGGACGCGTCAGTGATGCTCTTCCTACAGCTATGCGTTGGTGAAAGTATAATATTTAGGACATAAGGGGACATAGCAAAGTTTACGTGTGTCTAGAACCAAGTACACACAAAACATCTAAGATAACCTTTTGTCCCAGTGTTGGGAATTGTTTGTGGTACAATATGCCTTCTCATGAATTAGCATGAGACATTCAGTACATATACACCATACGCATAACACTGTTGCATTCAACTTTGATCAGGTCGTTGACGGATGCCTGACGGGTTAACCGGTACCATAACGTCCAGGTCAATAAACTAAAATGTATTGATTCAGACAACCGACATCTTTTGGCGTTTTAGATAAACGCTTCAACTGCACACAAGCAAAACGATTTTGGTGGACAAGTACTTTACAACTTGTGGATTTGTGGTGCGAAACAGAATGTTAACGAATCCATGCTGTTCTGCCAAAACGATGTTGTAGTTCTCTTAGTTATTTGCGGTACTTACACCGTGAAGTAAAGTTAACGAGTTGAACCGATCCGCATAAGTTCCTCCCTTTTCAATGAGTTAGGCATTGCAGTACATTTTCATGGTAGGAGGCTCATCTAGTTATTCGTAGATAAAACATTGTTTTCACCGCCAAATTCATGGAAACCAACTTCGGTGTATCTTGGTGCTTGTAGTCTGTGCAGATGTTAAGACAAAATATTTGCTGCCCTAACAGATACGTAACGCACAAAACAGGTTGCGATGCAGTTATAAAGAAAAACGATGCTTATTGGTGAAATGATTCGTCCGCTTCTCTTGTGTCAATTGCTTCACGCGTGATGTGTGTGTCAAGTTTATTGATAAATTCTCTAGCGACATTTGTTTATAAATTCTACTAGTTATACGCCATGGTTCTTCTGGATCAAAAGGTTTGTAAATCATGAACTCAATCGAGTCCTTTGATGCTTGCCACAAGGAGCAATTTGCCCCCACGGAATGCGCCGCATGAGTTCCATGTGATCATGAATGGCTTGTTAAAGTGGCCAACAAAATTCTACCAGGCATTGCTGGAGGAATGGTTCTGTTTAGAACCACAATCAGCTGTGTTTTTCAGAGAGGTCAGAGGGTATTACTTTACATTGATTCGGAAAAATTGAAGAGATCCTCTCGTATAATCTATGTAATAGACGCACAGAAAAATACCTATCGCATGAGTGCTGTTGGCAGAAATATCGTCCAGATTGTTACAAGCTTCATTTCTTCGTTGGTAAACAGGTTAAAAACATATTTTCTGTGCTGTTAATCTTGATACGAAATCACGGTGAACATAAATAAGTGTCTCGGTCATTAGCTTCTGAAATTACACCTTAGAATGCATTTTGTTTCAGATTAGAGACTAAAGTGCGTAAAGAGTAACTGACTACACGACAGCGTTACAGAAGTTTTATAGCTAAAAGCTCAGCGATGGTCATTCATTAAGTAGGGAATGGAGGGAGGTGCCCTATGCCTACAAATCAATCACAACGATGTATTCCATGCAGCAGGCACCTTGACGCCGTTACTTCCTGATTATGCGGTTGGTTACGAGAGATAAAGGTTTTTTCTAAGTGTCACATCAACGATATTCCTTGGCTTCTAAACTAGAAGGATTTCTGCTTTCAATAGTTGTCGAATCATTAGAGTCTTGGCTTCGTTTTCTACTTCACTAGCCCATGACTGCTTTTTATTACTAAGGTATCAACATAACCTGAAATAATACAAGTTTAGCTGGATCATTTTATCAAGAATACCTAACGTTTTGGTGAACCGTGTGGACATGAACACTCTGGCTTTGCACTCAAATCAGAGTTACCTACAAATTTATCGTCACACACACGGGTGTTGTCACTCATACGATCCAGCTTCACCAGCGCTATGTAGCGCATTACATCTTTTGGACTGAATTTGTATGGGTCGTCTATTATATGCACATCGCAGCTTTCGCATCATTCCCGCGGAAACACAATAGTGGAGTTTTCCGAATCATCACTCATACAGCAACAATTGTGCTTTCAAACGAAAGCAAACTCCACGATTTGCCCGACGAGTTATCAACCACAGATATCGACCGTCAAACATACAGCTACTACAGTTTGTGTCCGTATCGCTCTGTCGCTTTGCTTGCCGAGTGAATGACCTAAACGCTTTAACCTGCCTTTCCAGGGCTGGTAGCACCAAAGGTGTCGACTTTGAAAGTGCAGCGCGAAGCAGACCCCCAGGCAAACATAAGTGCTATGTCATTGACCGCAACAGATTCGATCAACGCAATGGTTTTTATAGAATATTCGGAAGCCCATTTTACCGTACCCAAATCGACAGTACTATGTGGCTATTCCTAATGCCAGCGAAATATACGTACAACAACCCAGTGCTCCAATTGCCTCGACATGTTTCTTTTGAGTGTTTTTGCTTACTGTTCACCATTTGAAGACACACTACAGTAGACCAGGTTCCCTGTGGTTCTACAAATTATGTAAGGTCATCACACTGGTAAAGATCGTACATGAAACATCACAGAAACACAAAAGACTAATGGCAGGGATTGAAAATATGGGGAACACTAACAATGGTCCATTTGAGGAAAGCGTGACAGTGAGCAAATCCCAGTCGTTCTCATTAGGCTCCGCTTTAGCACTGAGGAAGAATGCTGTGTAGCGCGTTAAATATGCGTCACCTATAGCTTTAAACCTCAGTAACACCATTTGCCCAAATAGGCTTGAAACAACCACCGCTAGTCCGATAGGAATAATAAAGACCAGAGGCCTCGTCCACTCTACAAACCGGTCTAATGTTTTAGGAGGACGTCAAGCTTAGTGTTGTTTGGAACATAATTTCCTCCAAAGGCCACCGGAAACTTAGGCCTTTAGCTACTCCTACTGTCGCAAATTAAATGAAGAAGGCAAAGCTGCCCTTACACACTCTCCAACGGTTGTATGCACATCAGTTTTGCAGTCGGCCTCAACCCTGGCTGCACATTATGTACCGACGTTGGTCAAGTCAAGTCAAAGTAGGCTTTATGCACCCGGGTATGTGCATTTTCTGCATGTTACACAGTCACGGCGGATGATGGTTTATATAAAATTACTGTTACAAAACAAGGAAAACACGTAAAAATGTCAATACATATCACAGGAGCAAAATAATTTTACGTCATATTGATACTTTTGGCTGGGTTAAAAGCAAGCGGGACAGATAGAATAGAACAGAATTTCGGTAAGATGTACTAGGCGAAAATAAAATTTTAAATTTTTTACGGGTACAGGAAACAGATAAAGTTTTTGATAGATCAAAATGTATTGGATACACAGTGTTGTTTATACTTTTGCAGGAGAAGCTTATATAAGCGTCTCGGTGAATGTTAAAAATGAAATCCTAGACATTTCTCTGCACCTGGGAAGAAGCTTTATGGACCATACACTCAATGTATACTTTATTTGTTTAACACAAGGAAGATCACAGGGAAACAGTAGAGCAAGTGTGGCAGTATACATGCAGTCAATAATCTATGAATCATTAGATGGGGTGCTGAAAGTAGTTTAAATCGAAGAACATAAAATGACAACCTTGTAACATTGCAGAACAATTCGGCAACGTACATAGTGCAAGATAAATTTTGCGATAAAAGGACCACAAAAAATTTAATATTCGATGAAATAGGTTTGTACTGATCACCAGGGTTCCAGAATGGACGTCAAATTCCTTAAAAGGAAAACAGCTTGATCATGTGTGCTAGTAAAATTTCATATGTGACATCATACAAGTTGTATTTAAGCCCGTCAATTTGACACGCATCACCATCACTCAAACTCAGGGAACTACAGTTAACCGAGGCATCTCCGAGTTTCAT